ACGGGTCGCCCAAAGTCAGAGAGACCCAGGAATTGGGAGATTTAACACTGAAGAGGCACAGAAGGAAGCCCCTGCAATAAGGGCGAGAAGGCGGTCCCAGGCCATGAGAAGAGCCAGCGTGGACAGTGGCAGAAGAACGAAGGGCTGTCGCAGGACGCCCCATCCTGTCACAGGATGTCACAAAAATGTGACTGCTGGGTTGCCTGACGTATCGAATGTCAGAAATGTTTGAGAAGAGCTTTTCAGGTGTGTTGGAGAATTTGTAAAGAATTCATGACAGATAGAAGGAAAACTATGTAAATGAAAAAAAATAGGTAACTCGATTCTAGAGAAACAAAACATTACACACAAAAAGAAAATATAATTAGATTTCACTACTTGGCTCATTAGTGAATAATACTTAAATAGTCCTAAAAATATAAATATTGAATTTCAGCATACCCCCAAATCTGTGATTTTGCCATTTGGGGAGAATATGGAGAAAGGAAATAGGGAGGTGGGCTTGTAAAATGCTCGGTTCTCATCTGGCATCCAGGAAAGTAGAGACTATTTAAAATGCATATATTAACAAATATCTACACAGGTAGATTTTAGCAATACAGGGATACAAAACGAATTGTCACTAAGAAATTGGGTTTGCTAGGGGGAGGGTGGAGCAGGGAACAGCATTTTTCTATATCCCTTCTAGCACCACTTGACTTTTAAAACCATGTACATGTAATACGTTGTTAGAAATTAAAATTAGGCTTAAAATTAATTGCTGCCCATCAAAAAAAATCCTTAGAAATTTTGAAGTCAGAATCCCATGCTAAATTATCACTGGTGAGATTAAAGTAATTGCCTGTTAAAGAATTTGGATGAATGCACGATACTGCATTTTCTACGAATGACAGAGGTTTGAAGTGATGGTGGGTGTCAGCAAGGCCGGGTTTGCTGCCCAGCCCTACTCTCCTGCACCAGCTGAAGGTACCTCCCTGATTCCTCTGCCCACCCAAGATGAGTCCGGGCCTTGCCCTGAAGGTACTTTAAAAGCTTCTCACATGACCAGCTGGTTTTCAAGCTGGTAGAACCATCAACCTCACCGCAACTGTTTTGCTCAGCCTTTGCTGACCATTGCCTCTGCCCTGGGCTGGGTCCCTCACCCTTTTCCACCTGCCTTGTCGTTCTGTTACTGTGGACGGGCCCCTCCCATCTCAGATGTTTACTTCTGTTCTGCTTCGCACTTTCCCTCTCAGTTTCCATCCTTGCCCGCTCTGCCTGTACACGCTGGCTGTCCTGCCACCTGCTGTTGCACCATGCTTGCCATCCAGCGACTCTCGTTCCCAACTTAATGTGCTCGTCTAATGTCACTTGACCCTTGCAGTGCTGACCTTGAGAGCCAGTACAAATTGCAGCCATTTCAACAACCTTAAGGTTATAAGCCCATCAGTCTTGCAGATGCGTGGCATCGTTCAATAAGGTCTATAGGGAATAATAGGAGTTAAGTCATGGATAAAGAAAATTATGAGGTGCTAGCAGGAGCTGTTGTCCAGTTATAGTAGGTGCTAAAGCAGCACTAGCTTTTATTTATATTTATTTAATATCTTTAATACTCAGGTTACTATAAAGTAGATTTTGTCCCATGAAGACTTTGCATATGGAGTGGAATTGGATATAACTTATCCAACTGTTTCATTTATCCATTGATTTAATAATTATTTATTGAGTACTTAATATGTTCTGGAGCTAAAGGTTGCAGAGATGAAATGGTTTTCTCCCAGCTTTCACGGAGCTTACGGTCAGCTGGGAGCAATATAAACAAGCAGCGGGGCTTCCCTGGTGGCGCAGTGGTTGAGAGTCCGCCTGCCGATGCAGGGGACGCGGGTTCGTGCCCCGGTCCGGGAAGATCCCACGTGCCGCGGAGTGTCTGGGCCCGTGAGCCGTGGCCGCTGAGCCTGCGCGTCCGGAGCCTCTGCTCCATAACGGGAGAGGCCACGACAGTGAGAGGCCCGCGTACCGCAAAAACAAAACAAAAAAACCAAACAAACAGTAATGACGCTATAAGCTCCTTGCATCAGTAAGTGCAATGAGCACTAGAAAAAGCACTCATGTTACTTTGTTATAACCAGAAACCCTGGAGACTGGGCAACAGACTCATCAGAACAGGCCTCACAGAAGATCATCAGGGTCTGGAACAGCGGCACCCAAGCTTCCTTATTCCGCCGCCCGCTCATTAAAACCTTTAAGCTCACATCCCAACAAGCTTACTTACGAATTCTGTCCATGCTCCACTGTACTCATATATTATGTACATTATCAAGTATGACTAAAGTGAATATTTTAAAGGGTGAGGTTTTTAAAAATCTAAATAGAATTCCTGGTCTCCTCCTCTTGTGCCTCATTGACTCTCCCCAGAGTAGGTACCTCAGCTGCCGCCATCAGTCAGGTCCAGGGTAGAGTCCTCACTGTTGCTGGTCAAGAATCTGGACTTAGTCAGTTCATCCAGAGACTGGGGACAACCCACACGCGACAACTCCAAAGATGTCATATGTGGTCATCCAGACATTTCCGGAATGATGGCTGGTAACCACCGTTTGTACAAGGCGTAATTTCCCTGTGAATACATTCATTCCAGAGACCAAATTAATTCAAAGTTGCTTAGTGAGTATAGAACGAGAGCTAATGGAATTGTGGTCTGTAGGGATATTTCAGCAAATGAGAATAACGGATTGAACTGTCCTTCTCCTCTCTGGGGATATTTCTGTCTGAATAACCAGTGCCAGACCTCAAATAACTACTGACATATTTTACGTTTAGCTTTCCTTTTTTCTAGAATCATTTTAGACAACTGCCCTTCTGTTAATACATCACCACCTCAGAAAGTAAGAATGCATGTGATTGGATTGAAACTTTAAGATGTTAACTACATCTGTGTCCTGGGGATACAGCCTAAAGAGACAGAATTGCTTTGCCTTCAGGTTGAAACGTGGCTGGGGATTGATCCTTGCTGGCTCCTAGGTTGCTAAAAGGCTCTCTCACCCATTAGACGAGCTGAATCCTGCCAGCCCTGGGGACTCTTCATTCCCTCCTAGAACTCTGATTGGTGACAGGGAAGCACCTTTAGCTTTTATCTTGAGAGACCTTCATTTTCAGCCAGCTGGGAGAGGTGACTGAACTCCTCTCACCAGACTTGAAGCCAGATCTTGAGCTGGGAAGAGTGCTCAGAGCTCAGGTGATAGAAACTTAAACCATGGCTAAGATTCTTTCTTTTCAGGTATTTTTCTAACCAATATCGTATCACATCCTTCTTCCCAAGAGGAAACCAGTCTATTTTTCTCCTACTGAAAGCTATGATATTGCAGTGTTTTAAAGAAGAGCTTGAAACTGCACGAAGACTTTTGGGACACCTTCAACAGTGGGCTCCACCACCACTGGTTTTACCTTAATGGAGACGTTTACAAACATATTTTGCACCGACTGACTGCTGATATTGGGTTGGCCAAAAAGTTCATTTGGGTTTTTCCTTAAGATGTTATGGAATTAATTAAATGAGGATCCTTTAATATCTCATAATACAGCAACACTATACATTTAATTTGAACTTACGGCATAAGCATAGCAGTACCAACGCGAAGTTAACTCTGTTTAAGAGTAAGAGTAGCAGTTGAACTTATTGCCTGTGTGCATTATTTGCATAAAAGGAAGGAAAAAATATTGTGGATAGCAACTAACAGAGTAAATGTAGTTGATTCATTGTGTTCTTTGAAGGAGAGACATGGCAAAATCAACTTTTAAATAAACATGTATTTTAGATGTTAAAAGAAGATTTTCCACAGGCTGTTTCCTCATCTGGTAGGCTTTTATTCAGCAGCTCATGAATCAGGCAGCCTCCAGTCTAGCAGAGAGAAAGGAGCTCCGAAGAGCTGTACAAGGAGAGATGTTTACAGACCAAAGGGAGCAGGGACAAGGAAGTTACACCGGCTGTGTGCTGGTGGTTGAAGCAGGGCTGCTCCCCTTACATGAGCAGAGGGAAGGCTTGGAGCGTCAGGTACCCTGAGCTGAGCAGGCAAGAGCTGACTGGGTGGCCTGGGCCTGCCTTCTCTGGGTGAACTGAGCACAGAAACTCAGTTAAGTTTTGCTTTGCTGACCTGGGGCTTAGCAAGAGTGACTCCATTTTGGGCCTCACCTGGTGACCTTAACATGGGCTTAGTATTAAAGGTAAAGGCTTTAATGACTGTTTTAAAGCATATCCATGTATTTTGGTCCCTAGCTGTGCTGGCAAATGTACTCAGAAATGTGCACATTCTAGAGGAATTTCTCCCCTGGAGATAAAGTCTGGAGTAAGCTCTCGGTGTCATATTAAATTCTTGGTCCATCTGTTCTGATGGAATGTGAGTCCTCCAGTTTGGTGCTTTTATTTTATCCTGTGAACTGCCTTTCTCCTGGGGCCACTGGCTACTACCAGGCAGTGAGTAGGGAGGGGGGCGGGTACAACTGTGTCTACCCCATGAGTTCAAGGGTAGAGGCTGATTGTGAGCGCTCAGGAGGGCTCAGCTCAGCACTCCCACCCCCCAAAACACCCACAGGTCAGAGTGTGGCCTGGAGTCCCCAGGGAGGAAGAGGAAGGGGCTGGGGAGGAGACTCTCCCTTTACAGCAGCTGCCTCGGGGGTTTGGAACAGGAGAGGTGGGAGGTGGCTGGCCGGTCACCCCGCCTGCTTCCTCAGCTCCTCGTGCCGCAGGGCTTCTGCACTTGACATACACTCCTGAGAGCCCCTCCAGCACTGCTCCTAGCAGGGTTTATCAGTCCTGAATCAAATATCTTATATACATACCCACATAGAACTTTTGGAAAGTCAAGATGTGTTTGTGGGGATTTTGTGCAATGTTGCTCAGCAGGCAGAGAAGAAACAAGGGCTACTGTCAGTGGAAATGTATTAAAACTCAGAAAATGGGTATCTTTTATATCACTGCCATGATCAAGTGTAAATTACCCTGTTTTCTTTCTTTGCTCTTTCCACAGGGAATTACTGGAATGCTGCCTCTTTCCCAAACCCATCATCCTACCTGCACTTCTCTACTTTCCAAGGGGAAACCAGTGCAGACATCTCTTTCTACTTCAAAACATTAATCCCCCGGGGAGTGTTTCTTGAAAATCTGGGGAACACAGATTTTATCAAACTCGAACTGAAATGTGAGTATAAATTCTTTGTCCGCTCATCACTAGCTACTCTTGTCACTGCGAGCTGATCTTAGCCGTGATTGTGTAATTTCGTTGGCTTCAAATATCAATGGCTTCCTTTGTTCCGAAAACAGCGCTAGATGGTAGATGCACAGCTTGAGAAAGATCCAGGTTCCTGTGCTCAGACTGCTCACCGGGAAGCAGACGCAGACAGAGCTTCCCACAGTGCTGTTCAGGGAGGATGAGGGAGAATAAATTGCCCTGATAACATGGGAGAAGGATGTGTATTTTTTTTCTTATTGAAGGGTAGCTAATTTACAATGTTGTATTCGTTTCAAGTGTACAGCAAAGTGATTCAGCTCATATATATAACTTTTCAGATTTTCTTCCATTATAGGTTATTACAAACTATTCAGTATGGTTCCCTGTGCTCTACAGTAGGTTCTTGTTGTTCACCTAGTTTATATATGGTAGTATGTATATATTAATCCAGACTCCTCATTTATCCCTGCCCCCGCCTTTCCCCTTTGGTAACCCTAAATTTGTTTTCTATGTTTGTGAGTCTATTTCTGTTTTGTAAATAAGTTCACATGTGTAATCTTTGTAGATTCCACATATCAGTGACATCATATGATGTTTGTCTTTCTCTGACTTACTTCACTTAGTATGATAATCTGAAAGTCCATCCATGTTGCTGCAAATGGCATTATTCCATTCTTTTTATGGCTGAGTAGTATCCCATTGTATGCATGTACCACATTTTCCTTATCCATTCATCTGTCCATGGACATTTAGGTCGCTTCCGTGCCTTGCCTGTTGTAAATAGTGCTGCTGTGAGCATTGGGATGCGTGTAACTTTTTGAATTAGAGTTATATGCCCAAGAATGGGATTGCAGGATCATACAGTAACTCTATTTTAAGTTTTTTAGGGAATCTCAATACCGTTCTACCTGGTGACTCTGCCAACTTCCATTCCCACCAGTAACGTAGGAGGGTTCCCTTTTCTCCACACCCTCTCCAGCATTTATTATTTGTAGACTTTTTAATGATGGCCAGTCTGACTGGTGAGAAGAATGTGTTTATTTTCCAAGGAGACAGGGTTCAGAGTAGACAGAGGATTGGTAAATATCAAGAATAAGGTATAAGAGAGTGAGGGTAACAACACAGAGGACAATAGGAATAGTCAGAACTAACACCTGCGGGAGTTCAAGGAGCAGCCTTGTGTGGCGCTATGGAACTTTGAGTCTGCACCTTTGCAGAAGAGGCCACATATCCACCCACCCTGTAAAGGCTGGAGTTCTGGTTGATCTCGCCAAGGGCACAGAAACTAACAGAATCTGAGCAAGAGCCAGTGCTGCCCTGTCCGTGGAAGGCAGAGGGTCAGTGGAGCTGAGAAGGGCAATTCTCATGGTACCGGGGCCCTTTTATCCTTGGGGCATAGTGCAGCTTCAGGGATTTACGTCCACAGACTTCCAGGTTTGATGAACATTTGCACACACCAGGCTGTCCTGGCTGTTCAGACCCAGATGGAATCAGCAAAGGAACAGACAGGACCAGGAAGGGGAAGCAGGTCTGTGCCCACCTGTTGCTCCGTGAAAACTCCTCGGTGCCTCTCCCCACATCAGAGAGTCTTTCTTCCTAGTCTGTGCTCTTTAACCCAAGTGCCTATGATACTGGGTCTGGTCTGAGGAAGATCCGGAAGCTATTTTCCAGAAATATCTGATGGAATCTTTTTCTCCTTTTGTAGTTATAATTATGCAACATGGTCTTTGAGAACTGGAATCTCGGGTAACTGTCTTTCTGCTGAAATCCTATGGGATTCTTTTTATTAAATGGTGGACTGTGATACGACCGGAAGTGCACGCACTTTGGAATTCTCATTCTCCTGTTGAAATCCAAGTTCTCGTGTAAATTGCTTAATCTGTTTAAATCTCAACTTCCTAATCTGTAAAATGGGATGGTAACTTGTGGAGGTGGTTATGATGCTAGGAAGTAGCCAGTCATGAATCATTTATTTCAGTGTCTAGTCGTTGTTGTAATTATCTTCTTCCCAAGAAAGCTCATTACAGATCTAGTGTGAACTAGATCTGATGGAAAGGAAGACTGAGAATATTCTAGCCTTAGAAATAAAAAAGAAATAAATAGAAATCTACTCTTTTCATGAATTATGGATTGGAATTATTTATAAGGGATTTTCACTTTCCACAGCAAATTAATTGAATCAAACTGTTTTCTGACTTACACAGAGTTGGATTGTGCTTTAGAAATAACTCATGGCAAAAAAGGAAAATTGACAATTCCATATCTGAGTAATTCTATAAGCTCCTATAAAATTACTATAAAATTCACCCTGCCCTTGTTTTCTATCCCCATGTTTTGTAAACCCAGGCCTGGGTTGTAAGAAGACAAACAAAGTAAGAGCAGACATTTCTACTTAGAAAGAGCAGACATTTCTACTTAGCACCTGCAGAATAGAATTGCACTTATTTATAATTACAAAAAACCTTCATAGATGTTTTCAAGTTTTCCAGGTCTTTCCATGATACAAAAACTCTGTGACAGAGAGTGAGGTCTAGTCTTGTTTTGTCATATAGCTCTTTTCTGTCACATAGTTTACCTTTGATAAAGAAGTATGGGATATTCAAGGCACGGATTAGAGGCTGGCTTCTCCTTGGAGTTCTCTAGACCTTCTAAAATTACTAAGGGTGGAAATACCTTTTATAAGATCCCCCAAATGGCGGAGATACCAAATGTCCATCATTATATAGCATCTCCATTCAGGTTCAAAGGAATTTATGGGGTGAAAAAAGGCCCGTTTCTCTATTTGAGCAAAACTTCTTCAAAGTATACAAGAAGTGATGCTTTCATGAAGAACATGGAGAAGAAAATGATTGAGACTTCCTTCTGCCCTTCTATCACATTTCTCCAGACTCTTCTCTGCAGGATCCACGGGGCAGTGGCTAGAGATGGAGAATTCTCACAGGCCCATCTCTGCCTTCCACTGATGAGTCACTGCAAACCTAATGGGTCCTGAACTCTTAGAAAGTGTCTCTACTCTTTTTTCCCGTTTAACTTGCAAGGCTTTCTGATCTCTTTCTGGTAGGAATTCAAATTTTGTTTCTCTACATGTGTCTCAAAGGAATTTTATCCCAGGTCATGCCTACATAGTGGTTTCCAAAACAACATTTCTGTTAATTAACGACATTGCGCCCTTCTGTCAGAAGTGGGAGATTCTTGACTCTAAGAACAGTGAGTCAGTTGCACTAAGTTGATGCGATACCATCAGCATCTTAATGTGCAAGTAAAAACGCATATATGATAAAGTTAGAGTGCTGTTACCCACTAACATACTTTAAAGGTAAAATTTTAAGGCTGTATTTCATTCATTTACTATCTTTATTTTTTCATTCATTCAGTGAATATTTACTGAGTACCTACCATGTCCCAGATGCTGTGCTAGGTCAAACATAGTTAAGTCAAGCATGGTTTCTTTCCCTCAAAGATCTTTCTGTTTGTTTTGGAAAGCAGCAAAGTAAATCAGTAGTTATAATAACAATAAAAATAGCTCAGCTTTGTTCAGACTCCAGCACTGTTCCAGGGAGTTTACATAGAGCATCTCACTTAATTTCCTAACCACCCTTTGGACTGGGCAGTACCATTAGCATCTGTCCTTTACGGGGAAACTAAGGCACAGGGCGTGGAAGTTGCCTGGCCAAGGTCACACAGCGAGGAAGTGGCAGCGCTGGTGTTTGACCCCAAACATTTTTTGTCTGTCCTGAGTCATTGCTGTTAACACCAAACTGCACTGCCTCTCAAAACAGACATTGAGAGAGGTGGCTGAGCGCACCAAGGGGAGGGGGGGGGGGGGCAGATTTAAACCCGACTGGGATGACAAGGGTGCTTCCCAGAGAGTGTAACTTAAATTAAATTTTGATGGACAGGCAGGAGGCAGGAAGGTGAAGAAGGTGGAGAAAGAAGGGAGACCAGGAAAGGAAAAACATTATAGGAGGAGAACATCGGTGAGTGAAGGTGTGGGGACTGAACCCAAGGACCCCAGAGGGAACAATTCGGCAGGACATCCAGTGCCCTGCGAGCAGCAGAGCCGCAGCTAAAAGGGCAGGCAGTGGTCAGACCACTAAAATGTGCTCTGGGCTGGGGCCGAGTTGGCTTGTCTTGACCCTGAAAGTTATGGTGAACAGGGACGTAACATGATCAGACTTGCATTCACCAGAGAAAAGATGGAAAAGCCAGAGAAGAGGCGGTAGGGGCTGGTGTGAAGATGGTGGCAGAGTGAATGGGAGCTGGGGAAGATGACAACGAAGGGTTATAGCTGCAAGAGATGCTTAGGAGAGAGATTCCACAGATTCTAACAAAATGGTTGTATGGGTGAAGTGGGAGGGAAGGTCCTAGAATGAAGCCAACATTTGGTTGTGGTGGTTTTTGATGATTGTGTGAGTAGAACAGCTTTCACTAAGGAGTGTGGCATTGGAGGCAAAATGCAAACTGCATTTTGGATATTTTGAGTTTGAGCGTCTGCTGGATATAGGAGTGTCTATGCAAGTGGACACATCTAGAAGGTGCTGTATATACAAGTCTGGAGCCCAGCAGAGCACTCTGAGTTAGAAACACACAACTTGAGCATCATCATCACCTAGAGAATCATTAGGAAATAAGTACTGGGTACCTCCAGCGTGGATGGGGTTGCCAGAACAAATGTGCAGAGAGAGGAAAGGAGATGTCCAGGAATGAAAGCCACACTTAAAACCACAAGAAAAGTAGCTTGCAGAAGGCTGCCAGAGAAGTGGGAAGACAGTGATATCCCAGGGATCAAATAAAGAAAGAATTTCAAGAACAAAAAAAGTGTTTGATACCGCTGAACTGAGAGGTCACTAAAATAAGAACATAAAGGGCTCATCAGCTCTCACACATAGGGGTCACCGTCAAAATGTAAGACAGTGTCTGCAGTGAGTGGAGGTGGATATGGAGATCAGGGGATGGTGGTTTTGTTCATT